AAAAAAAAAACTCTGTCCTGGGAAGAACCAGCAAGAAACCCAGCGGGACTATTTTTTTTCCAAATAATAGCTTACAATCATATTTACAATTATCAACACAAGACAAATTAGAAATAGCTTGGTAGCGATCACTCTTTCCAGGGGTTATTATCATCCATAAATTCCTTAATATTGTAATAATTCTTTTTATATTTATATGACAAATTTTGTATATTTTCTGGGATTTTGTTGTAAAAGCGTATACATCGCCCCTAGAATGAATTACCGACTCGATGTAGTCGAGTAACTGGTACTACTAGCTTGTGTCGGTTCCTATTATTTACAAAATGAATATCACTTATTTTTGCAAAACTACGTTTCTTCTTGTGTACGTACACAATATTTACATTTTCATAAATGTATTGAGAGGTCAGTTAATATATTCATTTCCTTAAATTTTTGTCTCAGTGACTCTTTTGGTTTTAAATTATATATTGCTCTAATGACTCTCTTCTGTAAAATAAATATAATTTCAGTAAAAAATAAAAATATAAATTTCTTTGCAACTTTCCGCTAAACATATAAAATGATGTGTCTTACCTGGATTGAAGCGCACCTCCCTCAATTGCATACACTAACTCCGTCACCACTAGACCAAGCACCACTATTCCAGGCAAGACACACCATCGACGATAATACGACACGTGTTTCGCCTCTACACGAGGCATCATCAGGTAATATAGACTCTACGGCGGCTGACCGCTAAGTACTTACTTAAGTACTAACTTAAGTACTTACTTAGCGGTCAGCCGCCGTAGAGTCTATATTACCTGATGATGCCTCGTGTAGAGGCGAAACACGTGTCGTATTATCGTCGATGGTGTGTCTTGCCTGGAATAGTGGTGCTTGGTCTAGTGGTGACGGAGTTAGTGTATGCAATTGAGGGAGGTGCGCTTCAATCCAGGTAAGACACATCATTTTATATGTTTAGCGGAAATTTGCAAAGAAATTTATATTTTTATTTTTTATTATAATGGATTTCCGCAAAGTAACGCCTGATTCTATCAATTATATAATTTCAGTGTCAGTCGCGTGTCCCCATAGCAAAATTCCATACGACATAATGCTATGGAAATAACTATAAAATAGTGAAACTGCGAGCGGATAAAAATTTTGGGAAATTTTGGAAGTCCACTAGTAAATTGGAGATAAAGCCTGGCCTGCGGGCCAGAGTAGATGGGGTTAGTTACCTGGAGGGAGTTGCAAACCTGTTTATGGAACATTTCAGGGTACGATCGCCGCTGGGCCCCTCCACGGGGATGCCTGATCCTGAGCCTGGCGTGCGGGTGGATTAGCCTATGCTATTGTTTATGGCTAGTCAAGTCAGAGATGTAATCAAGCGGATGAGAAGGGGCAAATCTCCCGGACACGACGGGCTCAGTAGCGAGCACCTAAAACATGCGGGTGTACACCTGCCAAGGGTCCTGTCTCTATTGTTTAATATGTGGACATTCATATCTACCATCGGATCTAATGTAAACCATTGGGGTGTCCATTGTCAAAAACAGGGTAGGTGATATCTCGGATAAGGGCAACTACCGCCCTATTTCTCTTGCTACCACGGTGGCCAAAGTATTGGACCGTCTGCTTGAATCATGCTTGCAAAAGCATCTGAAGTTACATGACGCGCAGTTCGGGCTTAGGCCCGGATTATCCACTGAAAGCGCAATACTAAGCCTAAAGCACACTGTCCAATATTATACAAGCCGGAGGACGCCGGTGTACGCCCGCTTTCTAGATCTCTCCAAAGCATTTGATCTGGTTTCGTTTGATGTGCTTTGGAGGAAGATGGAGGACAGGAGTGTTCCGGTGGAGGTGCTAAATCTCTTTCGGTATTGATACACAAAGCAAATAAATTACGTTAAATGGGCTGACCAATTGTCCAAGTCGTACAAGTTGGAGTGCGGAGTAAGGCAAGGTGGGCTGTCGTCTCCAAAGTTGTTCAACCTGTACGTAAATGACCTCATAGTGGAGCTCAGCAGCATGCAAGTCGGATGCAAAGTGAGTGGTGTTAATGTAAACAATATTAGTTACGCGGACGACATGGTGCTGCTGGGACCCACTACGAGTGCTATCAGAGAAATGTTGAACGTATGTGACTGCTATGCTAAGTCGCATGGTCCGGCCTACAATGCCAGAAAAACCGAATTTATGGTTTTTAAGGCCGCCGGTAAGTGTCCCGAATTTATACCTCCAATTTGCCTCGGCGGAGTGGAGTTGAACAGTGTTTTCCAATATAAGTACCTGGGCCACATACTTACCGACGACCTTAGAGACGATTTTGACATAGAACGAGAGCATAGGGATTTGGCGGTCCGTGGTAACATACTGGTCCGTAGATTCGCTCGTTGTACGGATGAAATCAAGATTACGCTTTTTAAAGCATTTTGTCAAAACATGTACACGAGCGGTCTGTGGATCAGCTACATCAAAGGATCGTTAAACAACCTTCGCGTCCAGTATAATAATATCTTCAGGATGATGTTGAAACTTCCTCGTTTCTGTAGTGCATCTGAAATGTTTGCACAGGCGATAACGGGTGGTTTTCAGGCACTCATGCGTAAGAAAGTGGCGTCACTAATAAGCCGTGTACGGGGAAGTGACAACAGCATCCTGAGGACGGTAGCAGATGATCCACATGCACCTATATTAAGGAGCTATGTGCAGACAATGTCCGGATTCGTAAATCATTTAAATTAAATTATTATTATAATATAGTACTACTAACCTCCTTACTATTAGGATTAATTACTAACCCTTATGGACCTATGTTTTCTGAAAATAAAAAGATTTGATTTGATTTGATTAAAAATAATTAGCTCTATATTGGGCCCACTTCTTTTCTTGATTTATATAAATAATATAACTGATCTTAAATTAAATGGCGAAATTTCTTTATATGCAGATGATACCTGTATTTTCTATTTTGGACGTTCCATAGAAGAAGTTATCGCACGAGCCCAAGTAGATCTAAATATAGTACATAAATGGTTCCAATCCAATTTGCTTACAATAAATACATCAAAAACCTCGTACATGATATTTAAACCCAAAAACAAAAACATTTGCAGTTATTCCCCTCTCACCATTGACAACTCTACAATACACGAGTCAGCCGAAGAGAAATATTTAGGGTTAGTACTAGATAAAACCTTGTCATGGAAGGGACATATAGGCAAAATAAGATCGAAACTATCTTTTCTACTGGGTTCACTTTATGGTTGTATTCGATGCCTTCCTTACCGTGTTCGCCGAACAATTTATAATGCTTTAGTCAAACCACATCTGGATTATCTAGTTGAAATTTGGGGGTGCACCTACAAAACAACATTGAAGGACCTACAAATAAACCAAAATAAAATATTAAAACTATTATTCAATTATAACTTCTTTACACCTACAGACAAACTGTACAGTGAAACCAAAATTATGAATATTTATCAAACATATTGCTATAATACTTGTATTCTAATAAAGAAAATTTTAGATAATAAAATACACACACAATTAAAATTTATAACAAATAAAGGCAAAGGAAAGAAAGTACTTCGCAACACTAACAATATTTACATACCTATGGTACGAACAAACTATGGTAAGCAGAGCATACTTTTTGATGGAGTTAAAATATATAATAAACTACCACAAGAAATAAAAATATTAAATAGTTTTAACATCTTTAAGAGCAAACTAAAACAACATATAATGAATAAGTTCTAAATCCGACCCCGTCCATATGCCGACCGCTAATCAGCGTTATCGGTAACAATAAGAAATACCTTACTTACTACCCACCTTATCTATTACTATCTACTAAAAAGATTGAAAGTATTAAGTTGTATGTCACGAAACTCTTTCCTCCCTTTTTAATGTTAATATATATATATATATATATATATATATATATATATATATATATATATATATATATATATATATATATATATATATATATATATATATATATATATCCATTATCGTGACGATGTCGAGGATTGGTGTCGTACATGTACAAGTTGTGCGGCTGTGAGGGTTGTGGCAATGTTGGTGCACCACGGGATAGGACAGCCCTTGACACTGCGGAGTCGTTACAGAAAGGCGCAAGAGGGACTCCTAAGATCGTCCATGCGGATCGCTTGGCGCGTTATTATGGGTCCGATAATGCTCGGGACGAGCATGTCTTAGGAGGGGGCAGTGTTACGCGCCTAAGTCGACGTCATGTACAAGGCACTAGCGCCATCTAGTGTCAGGGACGAGAGCGAGGGGAGCTTTCCAGAAAATACATGACTAGTCTTTCAACCGACAGCGCCATCTAGTATCGAATTGAAGAACTAAGCTTTCTGGAAGCCCCACACTCGAACTTTCTGCGCTTGGTCGGTTGGCGCTCATATTTACTCTTATATTCTAGAATATTCTGGATGTTTTCGTGGAAGAGCCCTATATAAAGGCGCTGCATTACGCGATCGGGGAAGTATTGAATTTGGCAAGACAAGCGAAGCTTTGGAGCGGAATAAAGTGAACCAGTGTGATTAATTATTAGTGTTTTAAGTTTAATTAGTGTAAAGTGAATTAAAGAGTTAATTTTGGTAATTCTATCGGCAGTTTTATCGTCACGAATCTCAAGCTCATAACAATAGGATAATCAATAGAGGAAGTTTGTGGTCAACAGTGGACTTATGAGAGGCTGTAATAAATAATTATATCAAAAAAATTTCTATTTTTTCAAATAACGTTACCTCTACAATAGGATTAACGTATATAAATTCGAAAGGACAAACATTAATATCTAGATCAGACCTAGAACAGAAACATCCAGACCCAGACCAAATCAAGACGCTTAACAGTTATTTGTAAGCCATCGACATGTTTCGTGACGAATTCATACTCGCTGCCCTCATTCTCGCAACTTACTGCTAAGCCACTGCGCCACGGAGCACTTTAATATTATGTTTTGTTCTCAGGTGGTGTATGGTCGCTGCGTAATCTCTCCATTACGGCTCCCCGAGCTGTTTTATCGGGAGAAGGTCAATCAGCGTTGCTTCGTTGTTCTTATGACTTGGAAGGTGCAGCCCTTTACTCGATCCGGTGGTATCGAGATGAGTACGAGTTTTATCGCTACGTACCGCGAGAGCTGCCGCCAACCATGGTTTTCCCTTTACCAGGAGCTACAGTGGATGTGAGTATAGATTTTTTATCATATAGTATTTAATGAAAATCACAATGTAGTCAAATATTTTGACTATATTATGAGGAATAATGTAAATTTTTTGTTTTATAGACGAAGAAATATATTCTTTGTTATATGTTTCTTCGTCTTTCACAACTTACTAACAATTAACGCCCGATTTATATATTCACGAAACGTTTTTTTATCGGTAACGATTCATTTTAATACATGCGAGGTGCATGTAAATCAATAAACTATTCATTAAGCAACTTCATAACCATCATGATCATCATGATTACAGCCTTTAACAAGTCTGAAATAAAATAAACACTAGCTGGTTCAACACTGATTTATTATTATTTATGAAGGTACAGTATCCACACAAAATATCAATATACCCACAATATACTACATCTGAAAAGGAACCAGACAAACGTTATCTAAGAAACAGAAGGGAGGAATCGAGGCTTCTCTCGATTCGGCCTCCTATAGCGCCTACGTTGGGTTCGGGAACAACGTATGTGATCTCCGCAACGGAGTATCACACAAGGGCGATAACCTCTTCCTTTTCAGAAAATAGGTTCAGGCGGGGATTATGGGTCTTCCTAAGTCGTCCCGGTCCCAACGCCTTAATTTTTCGATGTGGACTGTATTATTTTGAGGTAAGAATTCCTTGGGAATAAAACAGCAATTATCTTCAAATCGTTCCGTGAGAGAGTAATTAATTTTCCCTATCACTTCCCTACACTTTTCTTTCTTCTTCTTATTGACTGCTGGTCTTGCACTTTTCCCGAAGTTTCTCCGAACTTCCCCGAACTTTCCCGAAGGATTCCCGAACTTTCCCGAAGGATTCCCGAACGATTCCCGAAGGATTCCCGAACGAATTGCAAGAAAACTCGTTTACTGAGCTACCCCAGAGCTATACGCGAAAGTGAGCCGCGCCATTTGTGCGCTTGCGCAACTCAATTACATCAATTTGTACTATCACTCTCTCACGGTTTACTCAATAACTTTATTTGTATAAGACATACATTTATACAATTTACTTATAAAGATAGCACAAAAAAATATCTATACTACGATATACATTACATTTTTTATATCACAAAAAACCTTTTATTTATTTAACAAAATATGCTTATTTTACTCACATGTTCAAAGTTGGAATTTCTTAAATATTTAACATAGAAAGTTAAAACAATGTTTTTCACTTGAAATTATACATATCTTAACAAATACAATAGTTTAATTTACATTTTCTCTATACATTTCACTATTAAAACACTTTTAAATTTCTTATACAAAACTATCATTATTTCACTTATTCACAGGAATTTTCACATAAAATAACACATAATTCACCTCTTTTACACGTACAATCAATCTGAAATGTTTTACAAGTCATTTTTACATAAATTGCTGAAATTGCAAATATTTAATATTTCTACATATTTGGCCTCCTAAGTACGTGGCTAGCGTGCGTCTATGAACTCACACTATTTGAATAACTAACTTTTGCACGGCTATCGACTATCAGTAAAAATGGAAAGTCTAATATCAACATTACTAGGTGAATAAATGATTCTACTCAATTCTCAAACGTTGAAAACTACCTCTAATGAGATTCTTATCAGTTATCATGTTTCTTATCAAACAATATAAGTGAATGTTTTCATAAATAAATCACAGAAAATAGGCATTTGTTTTCATACAAAACATATCAAACTCATATAAGACAATACTTATGCAATTAATTTCCATTAATTCTACTTACGCACAGCGATCATCTCGACCGGGGAACAAATCCGGTAACATAATTTATATCTTAAAATTCCCTATATGAATTTATTAAGAGATATTACTAAGAAAACGATAAACTATTCCGGCCTGGGAGTCGAACCCAAGACCTTCATATCATTAATTCGATATTTCTTTAAGATTTAACTAAGCATTTTCTTATAGTAATATTGTTGCTTGATAATTTGCTTTTTAGAAGCTACTCGTAATCGGTTAACTAATAAAATGAAATATTCTTATAGGCGCGTCGCCAACAACATCCTTCCCCTTTTATAATGAACTGAAGTAGGTACAAAAATGATTTATAACAAAAAAACTATATAATGAAAACAAATGAAAGATAACGCTAACTGTAGAAATGGACCGTATACCAAATACGAACTCATACAAAATTAACATAAATATCATAATAACGAAGCCACCGAGGCGTAACATGAACATATTTCTATATATTATGTTATAATATAAATCACTTCTATGTTTTATGATTTATTTTGCTTCACAAGTATCGAACAGTTTTAAATTGAAATTACAAAATAATAGTAAACCTAAAAATAAACGAAATTAAGTCAATATCTGCAGAATACAGAGACTTAAAAATATACACTTAATATGAATATGTATATTAGTTTGTAAATAACTTAACAAAACAACTATTATATTTTTTCTTTCATCGGATATTTCATCTTAGACATGAGTCGTGATTTTGACCTAGTTATTGGAGGATAATGCATGGGCTATGACCTTCCGTATCCGTTTTACTATCTGTCGAATACAAAGGGCCAAACTGTTCTGGGTTTGAAGCTACAGCCTTGGCCGTTAACTCAGCTGACTTAGCGTTACTTAAACTTGTCTGCCATTACATTGAAAAATAACATTCCATTCTTTAGGTAATTTACATTTTTATGCTGGCTTAATATCATGTCCACATAGGACATTTCGGCATCGGACATGTTTTCTGGCTCACACACATTCAAGTTTAAAACCTTATCGCGTAATGTATATTTATGCACACATACTTTAGCAAAATGCCCTTTTTTATCACACACATAACACAATGCATCCCGCGCCGGACACCGGTCGTCAGTGGAGCACCCACCATTGCCACATGACAAGCAGCGTGTTCGCGAAGCCGCCAACCCGGCACCGCACCCCAGTCCGCGGCCACGAGCGCTGCGCCTCGTTCCGCGCGTCCTTACTCCACGGCTGCGTCGTACCCCACCGTAGCTGCGACCGCTTGCATCCCTTAGAGCATCAACTCGCATTTCACTACCACCAGGACCATTCTCGATGGATGAATTTTCCTCCTTCAATAGTTCTGCCACTTGACATATCTGGACCGCCTTTTCTAATGTTAAATCATCCGTACGAAGTAGCCGATTACGTACAATGTTACTTATGATACCACAGACAATTCTGTCCCGTATTAAGCTTTTATTTAGATTACCAAACTCACAAGATTGACTTAGCAATTTTAATGCAGTAACATATTGATCTATATTTTCGCCTTCCTCTTGGCCTCGCGTAAAAAACTTAAACCGGGATAACGTGACATTAGGTTTTGTCCAAAAATAGTTATCAAACTTTTTCAACAAACACTTAATATCGTCTTCACTTTCGTCCTTGATGTACGTGAAGGTCGAATAAATTTCGTAACCTGGTGATCCAATGAAGTTGACCAGTAAACTAGTCTGCACTGAACTTTTCTCGTTAGCCACTCCCGAGGCTTTAAGAAATACCTCAAATTGTTTCCGCCACTTCCGCCATGAGTCTGCTCGAGCAGCGGGGCCACCATCGAGCACTAATTCTACGGGAGGTCGCGCGTGTTCCATCACTTACTTTTACACAAAGTAAACAATTTACGTCGAAAATAAGTTCCCTTATCAACAATGTTACTTTTACATTGAATATGTAATTTATTTTCAAGACCACTGCCACCATGTAATAAAATAAACACTAGCTGGTTCAACACTGATTTAATATTATTTATGAAGGTACAGTATCCACACAAAATATCAATGTACCCACAATATACTACAAAGTCCACTGCTTAAAATGGACCTCCAACAAGGAACGCCATAAATCACGATCGTGAGCCACTTGAAAACGTTAATATAAGATAATCGAGTAAGACATTGATTATTTAAGAGAAAGTTACTCTATCTAGTAGAGCGATACCCTACAGTCCACTCACTGTTACGAAGTTGTCACTCGCAAAATTTTCTTCATCATCGGGAAGAATCAATTCTTCGAGTTATAATGCCGGTCTTTCACCCTTTTATGATCTGTTAAGCTATACCCGTTACTATGGTTCTACTGTATATCTCATCGTTAATATGAGATCATATACATATTTTTCATTATTATTTAGAAACGATTAATAAGCAGTTTATACAGAACAACTACATAAACACTAACATTTTTTAACTAAACAGTTAACAAGATCGGATGATCAGCAAGTCTTCATCGTGAATTTAAACCGCAGACTTAGCGGGGTTTATCTGTGTGAAGTGTCTGCAGACGCTCCGCTTTTCCATACAGACATACGCTCAGCGCCACTCACAGTTGTTGGTAAGCTTAATTTATGAATCTTCACCAGCATGCAAAAACACACTAATAAACATTGTATAACCTTGTAGTGGTAACTGTGTGAGAGTATACACTACCCCAGCTATATCACCCCAACACTATAATCCAGTGGAGGTCTTAAGAGGCCATAGAAGAAATCTGAACCAGGAAATAATACTAGTTTTTACGGAATTTATCGCGTATATTTAACTTTTTAAATACTCGACGTTTCGAACGCTTTACAGCACTCATGGTTACGGGCGGGACTGAGGTGTTCAACGTCCAGTTGTCATAGTTAAGTAGTTTAGTTAAAAAGATATAAATATACGCGATAAATTCCGTAAAAACTAGTATTATTTCAATGTGTAGTGTTCGCGTAAATATCAGAAATCAATCTGAACCAAGATTTAAATGAAACTAAGTTTTACGGATTTCATCGCATACATTAACTTATTTTAAATTACCTACATTTCGAGTACTTTAAATCACCCATAACCACCGAGTGGACTGAGGTGCTCTACATCACAACAGTTAACCACGGCAACTTTCAGTTTAAAATTATCAATTTTTTGTCCAATTTACGCAAAACGAGCTTATATTATCTTGAAGTCTTGCAGTTGTACGTCCCAAGCAGGGTTGGTGTTAAATTTTAATAATTATAGGATCCCAAGCAGATGGTAGCGTCAAGTCATCTCCTCTATTGAATTTAGGATGTTTTTATAATTCAATAGCCTCGCTAATCATCCTTTAAAGGAATCGATGTTCTTAAGTGAGGATGTATGATCTATCAAATCTCATGTAACGACGTGGGCGATCCTGTACGTGTTCAAAGACTGCAGATTTCATTTACAATCGTTCATGCTTAAAAATGTAGGAGATTGGTAACAGAATCTACCTGATAACAACTGAATAAAAATAAAAACTGCGCTTGCCAAGCGTGGTAAGCATAGGAACTATCTCACTTATAAGGCAATGTAATAAAGTAAGCTTAAATTCAGCAGCGGATTCTTGATAGGCTGTAATGTACCTAGATTAGTGGCACTTGTCACGAATATGAAGCTCGTAGTAACTCTGTCAATAGATTTGATGGTTTAATTTCGATGCCACTAAATTTTCATAATATCCTTGTAATTTCTTAAGTAAAGTGATTTTTGTTTAACTCAGATATGCCATTCCACGCACCACGTTTGACGATCTCTCGTGGAATTTACGAAAGAAACGATGTACTTCATGCAAACTGTTCAGTTGATGAAGCCTATCCAGCACCAAATATCACTTGGGTACTTGATAATCAAAAGGTAACGAAATTTGTAGTGCCAACTTGCTTACTTTGAATTTCGTAGTTATTTATTTATTTATGTAAAAATCTTACATGTTTTGTTAATACGTTAAAGACACGAAAGGCACATAGGGCAGACTTAATACCATGTGGCATTCTCTGTCAATCACCGCTGGGTGCCGAAGAAAATTATTGGGAATATATTATTTATATAAAATGTAAACATATAGGTGTGTGTACATGCGTGCGTGCGTCCGTGTTTGCATACGTGCGTACGTGCGTGTGTTGGTGTGGGTGAATATGTCTGTCACTCTGATTCTACTACGAAAGTCCACATTTCCAAGTTTATCATGCAAGGAAATTCTGAGCATAGTCCTCAATATAGCTCTCTGATTGACCTAACGCCAAACGTTAAGAGCCAGCAGTAAAGGGCCACGTATCACATCCATAAGTTATCACTATTAATACTGGTTTTAAAATCTTGTTTTCAAGGTTTGAGGTAAACCTGACGAGAAGATGCGTCGTAATTTCCCGAACACAGCAGAGTTGAATCCGGCGATTAACCTCTCGGTCGAAGGTGGACTTATCAAGTCTTACTATTTGGCCCAGGTTAGCATTCTCGTCATCAACTTCGAGTTTAGTACTCCCAACGACTACTAGAAGAATAGATGTAACATAAACGTTACACATGATTATTGTCTTGTCTATGTTAATCTAAAGACCTATCCAGTGGGAGGCTCTATTGAGATCATTGAGCATAATGCTAAGGTTCTACATTGATTCTGCCACAAGAATTGTATAGTCTGCAAAACAAAGGTGAGTGATGAACTTGCTATTGATATTAATACCGTACCCTTTCCAGTCTAGCAGTTTTAAGACTTATTAAAATGCAGCGATGAAGAGTTTCGGGGATATAACGTCACCCTGTCTCACAGCTCTCAACATTTAGATGGGTTTCATACTTTAATTATGTACTCGAATAGTCACTTCTGCAATTCGATATACCTACAGTCAACTTGGCAGCGCTGAAATGACTGTAGCACTGCCAAAATTTCGACGGAATCAAAGGCTTCCTCAAGGTAAAGCGGCATATTATACTCTTTAGTCTTCTGTACAATTTTCTGAAGAAAATGTATCTGATGTATGATACTAAAGCCATTCCGTAAACAAACTTGTTCGGGAGGCTGGAAGTCACCGAGCAAGCGTGTGACGACCCGCAAGGGAAATCGGTCTATAGTTCTTCAAGAAACGATGCTGCCACTCTCGATCTTCTGTTTCGACAGTTGGCTCTTTCTGACAGATATATCTCTCTGGCAAATACTCTAGAGCCCTAGTTCCGATCGATTACTTCTTCAATACGAGCTGTGTTGAAGTTGCGTATGTCTCGCTGCATGCATTTAGAGATCTGTTTGTTCAGTTGCCTATATCTGCTGAACACTGCAGCTTTCATTTAATTTCCTGTCTTACAGCTATGAGATTTAGAGTGTGATGGATTTATTTTTGTGATTTTCAGGGATGGGTCATGTAGAACTTAACTCCGACCGCATTTACAGTTTTCACAAGTTTGTTATTTATATCGTCCATTGAATTGCAGTTATCTAGGCTTTGAAAACAGTTTTGTTACTGGAGCTGAAATTTTAGGGGACTTTGGGTTAGAGCACGAGATGCATGGAACGTTGACTTCATTTTACGTGACCTCTCCTAATTAACTTTTAAGTTTAATGGACCTCTTACCATTCGGTGATCGTTACCAGTTTTCATCTTGCGGTCACTGAGACATCACAGACCATTTGCCATCTAGTCGTTGTAATGAAGTCAATCTCATTTTTGTGTCGAATCGTCGGGTCTCTAACAGGTCTTCTTTCTGTGGGGCCGCTTCTGAAAGAAAAAGTTTGTCATAAAGAGTCTGTATGTACATCTTCAATTTGTAACTTAAAGCTGAGTGGAGACCATTTTGTACATATTATGTTATTCCTTTTTTAATATTTTTGTTAAGATATCAAAAACTGTTTTACTTAATTTTTTGTTACAATGTATGTACCAAATAAACTTATTTCTTTTTTCTTTCTCCATGAAATCAATCAGCTTTTGGCCTACTGGTTTCCGTTGCCCTATTTTGTATATCATTTTTTCTTTTGTAGTTTTGGGATATACCAAGGTTGGTGCGTAAACGTGTATGACCTTCAACGAATACCGTTTGGCGATTCTGAGTATAAGGTATGCAACCCTCGTCAACACATGAATTATTAAACATATGTAAGTGGCAATAATCCAGCCCAATATCTCAAAAAACCGACAACCGATGGAGAAGAAAGTTTCTCTAGTAGCAACCTTGTACCAGTAGGCAAAGTGTAGGGCGACCCGTCACACTAGATAGAGTGACGACCTGGTAAAACATACAATAAATCGATGTATGCAAGTGGCTCAGGAATGTGCTTTGTGGCATTCCTTGGTGGTGGCCTATGTTCAGCAATGGACTTGTTATGACCGATAGCATACTTTTTACTAATGCACGCGTCTGTTTTGAATCTTTCGATAATATTTCTCTTGAGTTTTTGTTGTTGAGTTTTTTTTGTTTTATTAAGATTATTAATTATTGTGATTGTTGCGTTTGAAAGTTTTTACGGTTTTGTTTTAAATAAACAAAATTATGGGAAAATCAATCCCTAGTGAAGCAAGGACTATTTTATAGGAGGTATTGACTTTCTTTGATAGCTAGAAAACAAGTAAACGTTTAATGATTTATATGGACCAAGCTATAAGAGCTTGTGCGGTATTCGGTGTTTCTAAAACGACTATGATGAAAATTAAAAGCAAAGCCAAGACATTAGCACATTTCACCTGTGCCTAGTATTTTGGAGTCAGGCCCAAAATTGTCAACAACAGGCAAAAAAAGAAAACCTAGTGCTTAAAAAATAGAAACGGATAATTTAGATATATTATGTGCAATGCGAAACATAGTAAATTGTTTCTACACATTTACAAAAGAAATACCGACGCTAAATAAAAAATGGCGGTTGTAATTTAAATTATATAGGAGGAAAAACCAATCTGTAGCAGATACTGATCAATTGCTTAGGTTATGCATTTAAAAAATGTAAAAATGCAAGACATGGTTTAATGCAAAAGTCCTATATCGTCGCTTGATGGAATTGCTACCTGCGAAGGATAAAAGAAAACAAAGAACTCGGGGCAGATAAGAAACTTGTTACATACTTAGAAGAAACAAGGATCCATTCGAATTATACCGTAAGTTGGCAAACTAATAGTGATGTTAGTATAAAAAAATAATGACCCAGGACAACGATGGGTACTTGTAAATGCTGGTGGTGAAACAGAATTCATTCAAGGTGTCGAAGTTTTATTTAAATGCAAAAGTAATATCTATCATCACGAATGGAAAAGTCTCACTCGAGTTAGTCCCGCAAATTTAAAATAAAAAGCTATCTCCGGAACAATAATATCATGTTCGATGATTAAATGACAAAACCAGAATTATACCACTGAGTAGTTATTAATAAGACTCCAAAAACATACAATGTGGGCAAACTATCCAGAGAGAGCGACTATGAAGTTTTACGTCTGCTACATTTGTTTATTATTATTAAATTTTGTTTTTTTTTAGAAAGAAAAAAATATAAAAATTAATAATAATTTCTAAGAAATAAATCTCTTTTTGCAAATAATACACCAGGATGACGTCACAGCGTGAAGTTCGCGCTTAAGTCACACGGTTTATACATTTAGATAAAGCTTCGAACTACACACACACACACACACACAATATATATATATATATATATATATATATATATATATATATATATATATATATATATATATATATATATATATATATATATATAAATGTTCATCATACGGTTATGAATTAATGTTTCAATTCTTTATCTTTTCACAGATAGCAGAAATGGTCTCGAAGCAGACATTGGATCTTGATTTCAAGGAGCGCGCTGCGTTCAGTCAACTGGAAATTAATATTCGCGAGATTAACAGTTATAACACAGAAGCGATATTTGGCAATGGGTATCATGAGAGTGCCTATACAAGTCAGCCGGATCACTATCAAATTGGTGACATGAGCTATGTGGAACGCTTGAGGTATTTATTGTAAAATATTGTAAGTTATACGTCGATCAACAATACCAACATTGTTGATCGAAGACGTTATACGATAATGACTGGCGGTCTTAGAACAGTGGCTGTGCGATTGGTTGGAGCTAAAGTTTCTATTCTTAATCTGACAATAAAAAAGTATTTTATTTCCTGAAACCGATTTTGGGTCTGGGTTTCTCTTTGAAAAAAAAAAGGACTAGTGTAAGGGATATTGTTTTTAAAGAGCCAAGAAAAGTAGTCATTACGAAATTTCACAAGTCCACAGCTGAAAATAAACAAACCTCTTGTCAATATTTTAACTAGTCTCTTACTACAGCCATGAAAGAGATGTTCTTATAATGCCAACATAAGGGAAAAACCCTATAATGCAAAACGTAAATATTGAATAAATGTAATAATTCGATCGATATCATCACAAGTATCGTGGTACAATCCGAAATAATTACTCGCTGGCACTACTGAAATTATTTTTATTAGGATATATAAGTGCCATCTACTGCAGTCGATAAGAACAAATACACCGCGAGGTATTTTTGTTCTTCTCGACTGTAATGATAATAATCTCTTGTTTCATTATCATTTATAATACATAATAATCATCGTCATTATGGCCATTCTCTCATAAAATCTACTGTTGTATATAGACCTCCCCCTTAGATATGCAGCAAATCTTCCCAAGCCACTTTCATCTATCGTCTTCCTGTATATTTTACCAGGTCATCACTCCTTCTAGGGCGAGTCTCCACTTCGCTTCCGAGGCTGCCATTAAAATATTTCTTCCCACGAATATAGCTCAACGAACTGTAATCAGTCTTATCAGTTTATAGAGCTATATAGCCTTGCCTTTGCGTTGTCGGTTATTCTGTATTATAATCGTTTAAGAAACAACAATAGGCTAGCGCTTTTATCTTTATTAAAGTTTTAGTGAGACTCATTTTACGTTCACGTACTATTGCTTTTTGTAAATTTTTATTTGGTATAATTTTTCGGAAGGTACAGTATGTTTCCACCTCAAAGCGGACAGTTCACAATTAATTGTATAGCAAGCATATATGATGTGTACGAGAGAACGAGCGAGTTGCGTTACATAAAGGAGGACAATCCTCGACCAGCGTCTGTAACAGGAAAGCACTCTTCAGGTAATTTATTTTCTGTAGCTGAAGATTCTTGTGTTAGCGGTGGTTCTCCACGGTATTCAAATAGTGGATTAGAACCCTCGACCTTTTGAGTTTGCGATCCGCACCGTGCCAATAGGCTACTATCGATACAAATAGCTTAAATATTTTTATAAAAACATAAATGTTGATGTTTTAACTGAATTATATTGTGATGGACTGACTGCTACGAGAGTATCTTAGCTGTCAGTTACCGTGGAGACTATATCGCCTGAGGATGCCTCGAGTAGAGGCGAAACACGTGTTGTAATGTCGTCGATGGTGTATCTTTCCTAGTGTAGTGATGCTGAGAGTAGTGGTGCTAGGAATAGTGATGACGGGATTAGTGGTGACGAGATTAGTGCACGCAATTGAGGTAGGGCGGGAGGTGCTGTGTGCACAGTTAGGAAGTAATCGGTGTTTTTTCGTCGCCGTGCCTCGGGAAGCATTTAAAGCCGTTGGTGCTGCGCCTGATCTCTCACGGGACGTAACGGCTTGCCGTTCCGTTGGACGAGCGGTGATGGCTAGACTATACGGCTGGTGTAAGTACGATAATATCATCAAATTTTTTTCGTTTACAGGTGTAACGACGGTCTGCAATTTGTTCTTCATATGCATCTGTGTCTGTACGTCTATACTTGGTCGTATGTTATGACTATCAGCTAAATAATTGTTTGTATTTATTGGATGTGTAAATATTTGTATTATTAAAATGAATGTTGTAAAAAATATGCGTTATAATATTTAAAAATGTAAATTTATTACTAATGATTGCCAAAATTTGTTAATTATGTCATATAGTAGTTTAGGAATTACGTACGTAATTGTAAACTTGATAGTTAAAAATTGTAATCATGTTAGTATTGTTTTCATTTTGGAAAAAAAAACGTTTGAAGTTAATAGATAATACTAACTTTGATGTATAGTCGGTTAAGATTAAAAGGAGCTTTATTTAAATAACTACAGCAAAATGTAAATATATATGTTAGTCGTTACGAAGCCTCAGTGAAGTTTTATTTTGTAAGTGATTTATTGTTGATGCAGCAATATTACAACGCCATTTAGCGTCGTACATATCAAATGCTTATTTTTATACAAAAAAGAAGATAAAGATGATTAGATGATGAAATAGCTATAAATTCTGCTACTCTTGTATTAGATTAAGAATATACAATGCGTATATACTTTCAATCTTGAGGACTAAGTTATTATGAAACACAGAAGCATTATGCTGCTATTTATTGCATTCATATTCCCTGTAAAGACGATGTAGGAGAATCGACTACCTTATATTATAGCCAAAAGTAAATAAAACAGGGGGTGGGTAGCAACTCTTTCGTGATAAAAGTTAAAAGTGTGAAAAAAAATGCGAATGTCACACCCCCTGCCAAGCATGGCAACTATGGCAATATATGGGGAGGACAGTGTTTAAATGTGGACTTTTAGTATTTAGTTTTAGTGTAGTATTTTGTAGTATTTAAGAGCTTATATCTGCGAAATTTTATTTACATCTCAGAAATAAATGCTGGTTTCCTCACGATTTTTTCCCTAAAAACGTAGAACTTCTCCATTAATTGCGTAAAAAAAAAGTAGTAAAAATGTCAGTGGCGGTGTAAGAATATCTACGACCTATATCGTACCGTGTGTGTCGTAAGAGGCGACAGAGGGAAATTGAAACAAGTGATGGGCAGCAGCCCCCCCCTGGTAAAAAAAAAAACTACAGTAGCTCAACGATGATCTGGCAAACCTTCCAATTAGAAGTAGGCCTATGTTCATCAGTAAACTTATAGGCTGCAATTGATGAATGGATAGATGAGATATGGTTTTCTCGTGCACTATTTAATCTGTAGCGCCCAATCCCTAAGCTACCATTGCTTATTACTTCTACATTATAATATAATAAAAAGCGATGTTATGCGATAATCCTTGGCATAATTTCGTTCCGTAGGTGTAGTAATGTTCCAATAAATATTGGTGTTCATTACACGGTGAGAGGCATCCAAGGTTCGATATATCTAATTGTTACCGCCAATGTGCCAGTTATAATTTTTTTTATCAGTATCATTTTTTATAGGACAAACTAGCACATAGTTCACCTGATGGTAAGTGGTTGCTGTGATCCATAGAAATCTACATCTATTCTCGTTTATGAATCAAAATGCAGATGCGTTGTCACACGTGAGAACTAAGATGGAATGCCTCGTTTCCAGTTAATGGGATCTCCGGTTCTTTACACTCACCATACGAAACACAGAAGCATTAAGTTATTATTTTAAATATATTGTATCAACAGTAATGAATAACATGTAGAGGGACAAATTGCCTGGTCATGATGATCTCAGCATCCAGCATTTTAAATATGCTGGGGGTCACCTACCACGCGTACTTGCGATTTTATTTAACTTATGTCTGTGTCACTCTTACCTAACTGAGTATATAATACGCACTATTGTCGTACTGATCCTTAAAAATAAGACAGGTGACACTTCTGATGAAAATAATTACCGGCCTATCTCACTTGCTACAACAACAGCTAAATTGCTTAACAGTCTGTTGAATAGCAATCTCGAAAAGCGTATCAAGTTGCATGATGCCCAGTTTGGGTCTACAGCTGGATTATTTACCGAGAGTGCTATTCTGAGCCTGAAGCGTACTGTCTACTACTATACGAAGAGAAAGACGCCAGTATACGTGTGCTTCCTCGACTTGTCTAAAGCCTTTGATTGCGTAATTTATGACGATGAATGCGATGTGCGAGTGCGCCGATGGAGTGCATCTCCCTCCTCAAATTCTGGTATTCAAACCAGAAAAATCTAGCGAGGTTGGCCGGTACGCTATCGGATGAGTAAAAATTGCAATGGGCGTAAGCCAGGGGGGTGAGGCTCGTCTCTGTTGTTTAATCTGTATATCAATCAACTTATTGAGCGACTCAGTAGTACACATGTTGGCTGTCATATTGACGAATTTGCCTCTGCTGAGAAGGTGCAAGCTCACTATCAATGCACTGAGGACTCTATTGTCCGTATTGATAACGCGGAGGGACAGGGGCTAAAATATAACAATAATAAAAGTCAACTACTTATATTCAAAGCAGGCAAACATCAGCCCTCCCATGTGCCTCCAGTGGTCCTCGGTGCGGTGCCTCTAAAGCTGGTAGATAGTTTTAAATATTTGGGACACATTGTGACTGGAGACCTCCGAGAAGACGAGGACATAGAAAGGCAGCGCAGAGCGTTGACGGTGAGAGCCAATATGCTCGCCCGCAGGTTCTGTACAGATACTGTTAAAATAACTTTTTTCAAATCATTTTGATAATCGTTTTACTCTAGTGGCCTCTAAGTGACATATACGCGTTGTGCTTACTTCCGGATGTTGTTGTGACTGCCATGGTATTGCATTGCGTCCGGTATGTTTGGCCAAGCGCGTACTGACTCTTTCCATGCGATTATTCGCAAGAAAACAGCATCACTCTTGCAAAGCGTACGATACAGTAGCAACAGTATCCTTAGAGCGATATCTGTAAGATATGACTGTGCCATACAGAATCACAGAATGGGCGTAGTCATCTGACTAAAATGATGTGTGAATACTTACAATACTAACAAAGTTTCAAGTCAATGCCAACATGGATTCTTTGGTCTGAAATAAAAATTGTTATCACTATTATTATTTTGGGGTATTAATAGTATATTCTCATCTGGTTGGGCTGAAATAATATATAAAATGAAACGAGAAATATATAAATACATATTTCATATACTAACATAAATAAATAAATAAATAATACATAGATAAATAAAAGCCCAACCGGATGGAGGCCCTCGGCAGGGGAGACCAAACGGCCGAGTGTTAGGGTGAACGGGAAAGCAACCGGCGGACGATGCGGGCGGTATCGAGGAGCAACACCGTCTGCATTTGAGTCTGGAGCGGTTCGTCACGGAGTCCTAGTCGCCTCAATGACCCGTGAGGCTTACTGGGATTAGCCTGTTTGCAGAAACGATTACAGGAATATAATTTCGGTTGGCAGATCACCCCACATTTCGGTCATCTCGTAAGCCAGGTCCAGGCATTTTGTTTGCTTATCTGTTTCGGCTTTCACGAGGTTCTCGTCATACGTAATGGTAATATCGACCCAAAATATCCTTGACTGTGCCCAGTCCATTAGCACAATATCAGGCTTATTCGCAAGAATAGTACTGTCTGTGATGATGGCCCGGTCCCAGTAAAGCTTGGTGCGATAATTTTCGAGCAGGGCTTCTGGAAAGTACTTTTAATAAGGCAATTTCCGCGAGCGAGCTCCTGGTGAAGAATTCTGGCTACTAGGTTGTGCCTGGGCAAGTACTCAGAGTTAGAAAGCGCCGAACAACCGGAGATGACATGCCTAAGTGACTCACCGGGATGGCGACAAGCTCGACAGATGTCGACGGTGCCGTCCTTTAGAATGTATCCCTGATAGTTGTTTATTATTATTATTATTTTATGCTGGTATTCTGTGATAGCGTGATCTTTCCCCGTTCGAGCAGACCGATTCATGCTACAACTATACTAATAACCGCACCTATGATATATAACTGCACCATAGCTCCAATACGTATAAATCTTCTACAAGCAGTTTACACTATATTTATTAATCTAAATTAAATTGTAAAAAGATAATATAATAATGTAACTAACATCATTAAACACCTATTACTATCAAATTAAGTTGAAATTGAGACTAGAGTATTTTTTTTAATTATGAAAATTTGACAACAAAAGTTTATACCCAGCAGTGAACACGAAGAATTGTGGTTTGAAAAGTGGAGATGGCTGAAAAGAAACAAAATAAGAGTAAAAATTTAAAAACTTTTATTCAGCAATCACAACCTCAGACCAACAAAAAGATACAAAACAACATTAATTTCAAGTGACGACGAAACCATGCTCAAATTATTGTAACAGAACGTATAATCACACGTCGATCTATTACATCCTATAAAAGTCTACTGATAAAGATAGGCCTCCTCAATAGATTGGCTCAGATTATGATTAGGTTGCCACGCTTAGAAGGTAGTTTGGCAACCGTAGTTTTTTATTTTTTGGGGTGTTACCAGGAAGACGGTGCTGCTCATCCCAGTTTTAGTTTTCGTCTGTAGCTCTTACGAAACCACAGGACGATATGTGGTAATGGATATACTTACACCGCCACTGTACGGTTTAGCAATCACGCACACATACACCTAAAACCATTTTGATTTTGAATCAGTGTTCTGTTTATCTTTATTTTTTAGTCTGAGATCACAACTCGAACATTATTTATCAACTGGACTCTTGAAACAAGTCAATTAGTGAACAAATTTAAAAAAAAGAAAAGATTTTCTTTGAGAAGTTCGCTAGCTTCTGAACTTGGAATCAAGATTAAGTTGTTTTCCAAGAGAAAACTTAAATTAAAGCTTATCGTTAAATCTTTTCGACAGTCTCCTTATATTTTCTGTTTACAACGACTTTAACGTTATTTTAATGATTACGAAAATGGAAGCAGTAATGACAATTAGGCGAACAACTTTTACCTTTTTTCTTAGGAAGCGTACTATTTTATTAAATCAATTTTGTGATTGATAGGCTTAACAATAAGTATTTTTATACTTATAAAGTATGGGTAACAAATAAGTTGTC